CGGAGGCGGCGGTGCGGGGAGCGCCGCGGGCAGCGCGGAGGGAGCTCGCAACAGCAGCCTCCTCTAACGGGGCCCTGTGCGGCACCGCTGCGCGTCTGCGCTTGCCTTCTCCCGGGCGGGTGTCGGGGGGGTACTTGGCCCTCACAAATGTTCACTTATAAGTTCCCTCTAGGTGACTGGCTCTGCATTTCCCTCAGGGAAACGCTGTCGTGATGCTTGTTGCTCAATAGCATCCTCACATGGGCAATTACTAGGATTTCATCACAATAATGATAATAAATGGAAAATTAAGTGGTTCTCTGGACTAACCTGAGCCAGCAGTGTGGCCAACAGCAGTGAAGCATCAGTTTTCCTAGCAGCACGTGAGCACTCCAAACTATGAGCATGCTGCCCCAGGGAGGCTGAAAAGGAGTTAATGAAGAAAAATATTTTAGGGAATAATAATGGAAGTGGATGATAATAAAACTTCTTTTAATAATAATAAGTGCTAAAATAGTGCATTGGGAACATCATTGTGATTGAGGTGATTTCCCACACTAATACACATACAACTTTCTTGCCATGGGTGCACTGTAAATCTCTTAGTTCTGACTTGTTGCATGATGCCCAACATCCTAGGGGGAACAAGCTAACTCCCACATCCAGACAAACCGATTCTGACCAGTAGTATCTCCCACTGATGGAAATCTGGTTCCCAGGTTCCCTTGGAGTCACTGAGCAGAAAACCTGCCTCTGCTTTTTTCAAATATAGATGTTAATTTTCACTCAACCAGTTTAATAGGAGTTTCATCACTTCCTGCAGGTGAGCAACTGTGCGAAATCTTTGGAAAGGTCTTTCCAGCAGGATTTATTCCCTAAAATGTTTCACAGCTGTGACGGCTCACTGCAATATGCAGAGGTTTTGTCATGGTCTTACATCTAGCAGCTTCCCTGTCAATCTGTTTGGGAGTCAGAACACTTCTCTGATTTTTGGTCTCTTCCCTTTCTCCCTCTCACCTTCTACTGACTGTCTTTAAATGTATAATTTATATCATATGCTGATTTTTATTCCATCAGCCATTTGTATTAAAACAAGAATGAATACTTGCAGGGGCACAATCTTGATTCAAAAGTCAAATGCAACAAACTTAATTTCTTAGTAAGAACTTCTTCAGTAAGGAAAACTTAAAAAAAAAAAAGAAAGAAATTGTAAATTATCTCAGCACATGTAATTAACGTTAATGTTGGCTTTCCTGAAATAGATTGATCTTTCTGTAATTGTCAGACCCAAACATGTGGAAAGGAAGAGCTGAACATTGACATTTAGTTCTTTTTCTTACATACAGAACATATGTGTTCCTTCACTTGCATCTTAGTGCCAGACACCATCCCACAATTTTGAGATACAAACTGTTACTCTCTTTATAATACAGTATATCTTTCAACAAAATAAGAAGGTCAAAACTAAAACTGAGAAAGGCAGACAAAGACAAGGAAATTACAGCAATGTACAGTAATGTGGAAGGAAACAGTATTTTCACCTGTTGACATTGCTTACTAATAGAACATCAGCAACAGGCTCTTAAATGCTCAAAATTCAAAATACCAATGATTTATTATCTCCTTACTTACACTGTCCTATCTACAGAAATGTTATGGAAAAAGAAATGCTATCTCAAAGTACTGTACGCATCTTTGGTCCTGAGGGCTGTAATGAATACAGTGGAAGTCCCTGCACGGTAACAAAATCACTTCCTCCGGGGTGTGATATGAGGAAGAGGGTTGTGTGAGCCCACGCTCTGTTTTTAGAACTGGTTGCTAAGATGAGCTAATCTTAACAAACACTAACGGCTATGAAAGATGTTATGCTATATGCATACACTGTTTCAAAATAAAAAGTATTTTTGCAAAATTGTCCTCCGCTTTCTTCTCTGTGTTTGCTGAGGTTTTGGCAGTCTGAGCCTTACATTTAATCTAGGGTCAGTTATTTTCTGTTAGGATAAAAATACAGCCAAATTCTGCCAGTCTGGAGTGAGAAAGAGCTATACATATGTATATACCATGCCAGAATCCATTCTGTGACTTTGGGTTTGATCACTGATATTGGAGTGCTTTATTTACAACATGATTTTTTCTGTGGCTTTGCACCTTATCATGGAATCACTGAAATGGGGCTGTGAGGAAACTCTAGAGTTCAACTAATCCATTCTCATATCCAAAGCCAAGGTTTGCTTTACTGATATCATCCCTGACATGTTTGTCAAACCTATAAACATGTAGTGCTGGAAATGCCTCAGCCTTCCCAGGGAGACCACACCAGAGTTTCTGTGTTCTTACATTTAGTTTTCTTTTCCTAGAGCCCAGTCTAAATATTTATGCTTGCAATTAACCATTTGTAAATTGCACTTGCTACGATTTACAATCATTACTTCATATGGACAGCAAGAGAAATACATTTCATATAGCTCACCACAACATGCAGAATCCTCTGTGCAGCACTCCTTTATGCCCTGGAAAACTCCTGTCACATCTCTTCTCACTCCGTTGCTCTGTAGACTAAGACTTGATCTTTCTCTTTCCTGGAATCACATTTAATTGATTCAAATCCTTCTTGAGTGGCAGTTCCCAAAACTAGGCATTCAGCTGCAGATGAAGCCTTCCTAATGCTGTGTGAAATACAAACATTATTTCGTTCATCAATCTCTGTGCCCTGTTCTTTTCTTTTCTTACAGCTGATGATTTTGTTAACTGAGTTCACCTCTGATCCTCTGAAATTTTCACTTTAAATTACTGATACTATTTTTTAAATAAATAAACAGTAGAATAAATATTAAGTGTAATAAATAAATAAATGAAAGCCCCCTTGTTTCATCTTTCCCACTGTAACTAAACTGAAAAATAAGTTATTCTGAAACCAGCACAATGGAACAGACTTTTTTCCTTCCTGCACAGGACTACAGGGAATATTTGAGCTAGCAATTTCTGCAGCCTGCTCTTTTAATGTTAACTATATGTAGGTTTATCACTATGCCACTGAAGCACTGTATGCTAAAATATGATTTTGCTCATGTGGTAATCAGATAAACCTTTTTCCTAATCTTCTTGTGTGAAAGAAACTCCATTATCCCTTCTTTTCTTTGCCTTAATTTCCATACCAAAAGGTAGGATATGGCCTTTTTATTTGGGGAAAAATAAAGCAAAATGTTTTCTTTTGCTACCTCCTTTCTTTGCTAGCCATTCCAGAATGTAAAGAGTGACTTGCACATATGCTCTAAGTAAAGCACATGCAGCAGCAAAACTCTGCTTTTGCTCTGTAATTCCTGGGCAGCAGAGCACTGTAACACTCGTTAGGACACCCCTAGCTGGTTACTGTCAGCTCTCCCAGCTCACAGGATCCTTTCCTCTGTTAAGAGCTCTGTTGAAGTCACTGGGGTGATTGACCAAGAATAGAGTACAGGACTGTTAAATATGAATAAAGGTATCACGAGGTGCCCCTAACTCTCCTTCATCATAGTAGTATGTTGTATTTCAGTTGCAACTATAATGATGGATCCCTGGGCATGCCTCACTATAAAGACTTGAGCCCTAGGCATATGTGATTTCAAGGAGATGCTACCTTATCTACTATAGTCATCCACATAAGTTGTCATCAGTTACATTTATTTTAATAAATAGATTAACACATTACTTATTTTGACAAATTTAGTGAATTGTGGCAATTAATTAACAACCCCTCCTTTAAGTTGGCCAGAAAATCTTAACTAAAAAAGCTCCCTGAGCACCCAAATTGAATGTCAGCTGGAGATCAAGCATTACTGGCTGCTCACCATGTTCAGAAGCTGTATTAAAATACAACAATCATTTTAACTGAAATATCTGTATACATGCCTCAAAAACTGGAACGTGAAGGGGTGCAGATTGTGTTGCAAACAGATGGATGTTTGTATTACATATAGACTTGTATTTATTGCCTTCTCGTTTTAAAAATGCTATTCCAAAATTAGCCTTTAATGAGGCAGGAGCAAATCTCAAGTAACTACAGGAACTTAAACTGAGTTCTTTGTTGAACTCAACACTGAGCAGAATCTTGACTCCATCAGCACTGAGATGAGAAAACATTCCATGTATTATTCTTCTGCTTTCTCCCTCCCTTCCTCACATAAGACATTAAAAATACACTACCAGTTTTGACCCTACTGGCAAAAAAGTGTCATGATTACAGAACAATCCTATACATTTTCATGTTTAAAATAATGTATTTAGGCCCATTTATGTGAATATACTACTATTACTTTTTTCAGAGTTTTTTTTAATTAAGTTGCAATAAAAATTAATAGATAAACCTACCCTACAGAATATTACTATACATAGTAGCATTGAATACTGAAAATGTGTCTAAAGTATGGGCTCCATAAAATCCATCCTCATCCAGTACCTCATATAATCAGCACTCTTCCATTTTACATTTGTTTTCAGCACAATTCAATGTTTTCCTGGATAACTCCATAAGTGATTGTGATGGAGTATATTGCATAAGCATATTACTTGTGCGGAACATTTAAAAACAAATTCCTGAATCTGCTGTTTAAATTCTTCTCCAGTGTTTCATTTACTTACATGTTTTCCAGAGTTGTTTTGCTGCTTTTTACTTTTCTTGGGTCTGGAAAATTCACTTCAGAAGGAAAACATATGTATACAAAAAAAAAAAAAAAAA